ACACTCCTCCCTCCAGCCGGATCTCACTGGACAGGGAGACTATGGATGGAGCACACTCGCTACCACAAGAACACCTAACATTTGGGGGGACTCTGCACTAAGCAGGGTGATCTTCACCATGCTGTTACTGTCCTCGCTTTACAGGTGAGGAAATAGAGGTGGAGACAAGTGAAGTCATTTGCCTAGGATTAAGTTGACCGAATTCTTTGAAATCCTGATTCCGTGGTCTAAGTGTGCCTTCTGACATCTCTGCCTTTCAACGGTTGTGGAACCCTCTTCCAACGCAACACACACACACACACACACACACACACACGATTGTGGTCTTTGGGCTACAAGGGAAAACTCACTGGGGACCGTACATAATTAGCACCTGGTGGGCGCACACCGGGCACGGGCATCCCCCGGGGTTGCCCGGCAGGCACTGCAGGTCTCCATGCAGCCTGGGTGGTTGGCAGGACGCCTCCCGTCGCTGGCCTGACACAAAGAAGGGGTTTCCACCGTCTCCTGGCTGTTCTCCGGTCTAGGACAGTAACAAGGCGGGTCCCAGGAAGGGGAGTGGCGTCGAGCAAACGGGCCAGCAGGGGTCGGGACGGGCGGGGCCCCGCGGGCCTGTAGGACAAAGGACAGCGTCCTTTAAAGGCGGCTGCGGCCACACCGGGCCGGGCCGCGGCTCTCCGGGACCAGGTGCGCCGGCTTCTGGGGCTCAGGTGAGTTCGGGTCCCGAGCGCAGCCAGGCCTGAGTTGGAAGCGCACTTTCCTGGGCGCGCGGGTGACTTCGCGACGGGGACTGTTCGGTGGGAAGACCTGGGGACTGGGGACCGGCTCCGGGGGCGCCCAGCTTGCCCCCGCGGCGAGCGGCTTGGGCCGGCCCGCTTCTCCTGGAGGCGTGAGGGCGGGTCTCCTGCGTCCACCTCCGAGAACCATTTAGGGAGTGACCCCTGGCCCGTGCGAAACCGTAGCCCCGAGGTGTGTTGCTGGACTCCTGGCTCCTGCGATGCGTCCTCATCTTACAGGGCACTGCTCCGCCGGGAGGAGCAGAGAGCGACAAAGAAAAAGGAGAGGTGAAAATGCAGTGGGCAAGGCAGCAGCTTAGGATGGGTGGGCAGGGCCCTGGTGGCGTTGGCATGAGCGCACCTGGGACCAGGTGGCCGCCCCAGTAGTGGAAGCTGTTAGGTGCGGGGGCGCAGAATTTCGACGACAGCGACCATAGGTGACGATGTAGAACGGCCCCATAGGATTTTCTGAGCTGTGCACTTTAGAGGAGCAGTTCGCCAGGTCTTTGTTCCGCACAGCGTTGGGTGCGTTGTAACCGCTTCCCCCTGGATTGATGTACTTGAAACGCAGTGATGTGCCTCACGTGCTAAGTGAAAAATATAAGTTACAGAATCGCATGTATAATGATTTTCGGAAGTAGGCCTGTGTGTGTTGGGAAGTGGGAGATGGTGGGGACCTTTCACGTGTTGCAATGCACCTTTTTAAAAAATTGAACATGTGTTAGTGTTACCATTTCAACAAGTAGAGATGTGTCATGGTAAGCACCTGCCCTCCCCTTCATTTCTGACTTTCTAGAGGAAGTGTTACTTCTCTCAAGAGAAAACTGTAAGAGACCAAAGGCCAGGAAGAGGCATTAGATGTCTTAAGCAAAAAAAAAAAAAAAGAACTGAATGAATGGAATGAATGCCAGGGATAGGCCCTTCCAGGAATGTTAGGGCTGGGGTGGGGTGGCGATCTTTAGGGAGAATGTGGGGAGCCTGTGCCGCATCTTCCCCCCTGGCTGTAGCTGTGTGTCTAGAAGCTACTGGCTACAAAGAACAGTGGTTCCTATGGAGGCATGGGTGTCAGTGTCTTGGGGCTTAATGTCATACTTTCATTTCTCAGATACAGTGTCCCCTTCATGGGTAACATTGGAAGTAGAGATATGTGTGCACATCTGTGTACTGACCATGACATTCCTCCCACCCCGGCAACTTAAGCCAGGAGCCACTCCCACCCTCCCCAGCAGTATGAAGATTGCATCCAGGGGGGGGCCTCTGTTTGCCTTAGGAAACTCTTCTTCTGTGTTTCCACTAACCTCTACCCTAAATGTAGCACTCTTGGTTTACTGTTACACATTGGGCTGCTAACCTCAAAGTCAGCTAGTTTGAAACCACCAGCTGCTCCTCAGGAGCAAGATGAGGCTTTTCACTCCTGTAAAGAGTTACAGCCTGGGAACCCCGCAGGAGCAGGTCTACTCTGTCTCATGGGGTGGCCAGAGTTGGAATCGACTGTATCTAGTAAACGTGGCGCCACGGTTGTTAGCACAGTGCCACTGAGCTGCTGCCAATTCAGTGACTTCAGGTGACAGAACAACTGCCTCTCCTGGCTTCCTTGGCTGTAACCTGTACGGATGCAGATTGTCAGTGGGGTCAGGTGTGTTTGAAGTACCACCCAATGGTGAGCAGTCAGGTGCTTAACTGTTTTCCTCCCCACCCCGCCTTATGGACTCCTTCGGACTGCCATGCAGTCAAGGTGGACTCATAGCGACCCCCTGTGGGTTTCCAAGACTGTAACTGTTGACCAGAGTAGAAAGCCCAGTCTTTCTCCCCAGGAGCTGTTGGTGGTTTCAAAGTGCTGACCATTCGGATCGTAGCCCAATGCGGAAGTACCACACACCAGTACTTCTATCTCCTCATAGAAGTCATTGACATTTGTATACCATGTTAGAGCCGTTGCAAGTCTTTTGGAAAAGCATTTATATATCACTACTTCAAGATTACAACAATGTACTTATTCAATGTCTTAGACCATACCCCATTTAATTATTTTAATAGCTATTAAGCATAACTGGTTTGCTTATATGCTTATGTATTTTAATTTAAAATCATTACTCTGAGAATGGAACCAAAGCTTTTTCACTAAATGCATTTAAAATCATTGTCCTTCCCCTTACAGAAGGATCTCGGTGAGGACACAAGCCAGTCAGGACACAAGCCATCGTTTAGCAATGATGAAACATAAAACTTTCCTCTAGTTCTTTAATGTTTCTCCCCCCCCATCATGATCCCAATTCTACCTTACAAATCCGGCTAGACCAGAGGATGTACATTGGTACAGATAGGAACTGGAAACACAGGGAATCCAAGACAGGTAAACCCTCAGGACCAATATTGAGAGTAGTGATATCAGGAGGGTAAGGGGAAGGTGGAGTAGAAAGGGAGAACTGATCATAAGGATCTACATATAACCCCCTCCCTGGGGGATGGACAACAGAAAAGTGGGTGAAGGGAGATGTCAGACATTGTAAGACATGACAAAATAATAATAATTTATAAATTATCAAGGGTTCTTGAGTAGGGGGAGGCGGAGAAGGAGGGGAAAAGAGGAGCTGACACCAAGGACTCAAGTAGAAAGAAAGTGCTTTTGAGAATGATGCTGGCAACAAATATACAAATGTGCTTGACCCAATGGATGGATGTATGGATTGTGATAAGAGTTGGACAAGCCCCCAATAAAATGATTTTAAAATAAATAAATAAAAATTAAAAAAATAAAATCATTGCCCTAAGAAAGAGTCCATCCATGGGCTTCCTCAGGGTCCATGGCAAAAAAAAAAGGTCACAAACCCTGGCGCAGTGGGAGTCACCATTGATGAGGCCTGAATACCGGGCTGTACCTCTGAGTCCCTGTGTCACCTTGGATAAACCGCTCCGTCCTGGGTCAATGTCTGTCAAATCTTCGCTGAGCCGGTGGCATCTGCTGTGATTTTTGAGCTCTTACGTTACTCTGAAATCAAGATTAGCAGTAATCACCCCTTGCCACTGGGCAAACACTCATGCAATTTTCTCTTGATTTAATAAGTACTTTAGTATTTTCCAGTGACCTCGACGCTGAACTTTTTCAGCTTGCCAAATCACTGATTTCTTTTTCACCCTGTAGAGAGGAGAATAACACACTTGATGATAAATCAACACTAATTAAGCCCCTCCTAAGATGGCAGGCGACATTTTAGAAGGCTGCCTGTTCCTCTCCCCATTTCTTCTGCACAATAGAAGAGAACACCACAGTTAGTTTATCCTGCCTAATCGGTTTTTTCTTCCCAGCTTGAAAAAAGACCCACCACGGTCTAGAGTTTTCTCAGCAAATAAGCCAGACCCTCTTTGGACAAGAGAAGCTTACAACTTCCCTCCCTTGTCCTGGATGCAAAACAACCAGCACTGCTGCGGGAACAAAGGGTCCGCGGGTCCTTTTCCACCTTCAATTCTCCGTGATGGAGGCTTTCATATTTGGGGTATCCGTGGGTCCCCTTCTCCCAGCGCTCGAGGTTGTCATTGTGGAACCAAAGACGAAGGGATGCTGAAAGGACTTAACCAAGAAAATCAAACCCATTGCCCCTTCAGTGGGTTCCCACCCATGGCAACCACTTGTGGTTAGATCAAAGGCAATGGGCCAGGCTTTGTCGATTTTCAGAGCAGAAAGGAGACGTTGGGCATCACGTGGTCTACTCCCTTTGCTTTTGAACGGATCAATGGTCCAATGGGAACTCGCTCTGAAGGCGGGAGGGGGGGTAGGAGGGGCAGTGGGGGGAGTGTTTCTGCTGCCGCTGCCTCTGTGCTTCCTGTTTGCTTGTCACTCGGACAACAGGGCCTTTGGGATGTGCGCCTGTGTTGTGTTTCTTAGCATCCTCGGCAGCCAGCACAAGAGGAACATAGTAGGGCCTTTGTAAGTGTTGACCCCAGAGTCTGGAGCGCACCTCCCTGCAATGTGACTATGCGTCAAACCGAGTGTGCTAGACACTGCTAGACGCTGCGCTCACATATCAGCTTGCGTTTCAGTAATAGAGCAAGGCAACATCCCGAGTCTCCCTGGACTTATGACTCAACTGAAGCCCCGACAGATAAGCAGATCACTAGAGATTACACAGGTAGGAGGAGCATCTTAGATTCATGGCAGGACCTGTGATCCTCCCAGGCTTCTTTCATGATGTTGGTCACTGGGGTCCTTTTTCTGTCCCGTCACAGGAACCCAAGCATGACCAGGAAGCTCTTCACAAACACCAGGGAGCGGTGGAGGCAGCAAAACGTCAACAGCGCTTTTGCCAAGCTGAGGAAGCTTATCCCCACTCACCCTCCAGACAAAAAACTGAGCAAAAATGAAACACTTCGTCTGGCCATGCGGTATATCAACTTCTTGGTCAAGGTCTTGGGAGAGCAAGGCCTGCAGCCAACAGGAGTGGCAGCTCCAGGAAACATTCTGGGGCTCTTTCCCCAAGGGGCCCGCCTACCGAGCCTGGAGGACAGCACTCTACTGGATGACTGCCAAGGGTCACTGCCTGGTCCAAGCCACCCCGTTCCATAGTGTGACCCAGGCGGTCAGCTCTCTGAGTAGCACTTGTTCAGAAGTCACCGGATATTATTAGCCAGTTGCTTGCTCCAGATTCAATCTGATGAATCATTTGTGAGACACGAGCTTACACTTCCTGCCTGGTGGCTCAGGGACCGTTGCAGGGAACTCAAGGAGGCAGATTTACGGCCTGTAAAATGGAAATCTAATTATGAACATCCCAGCATTATCTTTAAATGACATTTAACGATGAGCGAACTTAAACAAAATATTTAGCATAGACAATAGAAATGCAATACCAGCGAGTGAATGAATACATGTGTAATTTGCCTTCCCTGCTATGAAGCATTGGCTCAATCTCAAATCGAGAGGGTTGGTGCCCAATTAGGCAATGAAATGGTGTGGGCCTGGCAGGCTTCACCACCACTTCGATATTTGAATTTAAACATGAATCCCATCGTTGAGGCCAGAGTATAAATAATTTCATCTGGTTGGCTCTGGGACCTTTTCTGTCCCCAAAGTTCTGGTCAGTACATTGGTTTTAAAACCTTCTGACCCACAGATAGGAAATGGAAGGGTTTTAGAGGAATGCAAATTTTTCTGCGACTCTGTGGAAAAAAACGATTTTATTGATGAAAAGCTGAACTGAACCTCGGTGGCTCATGATCACAAGGAAGCTTGATGGGTGTTGGATGAGGCTCCCGCCAGTTCATTCCCTGAATAGTGACGGCGTCGCGCCAGTCACTGTATATGGCACACGGCTTTCATCCCTGGCAAGACGTCTTCCTTTACTATCCTTCATTTAAACTACTTTCCGTTCACCTCCCACCCAGCCCAAGGAGGTCCGTGCCGTAAACACTCACACGCACACAGCAGGGGATTTGCCCCTAAACATGTGCTCATCTCTCAAGAATTTCCGTGCAGTTCAGGTTTGTGGCAATCCTGTCCTGTGATTATATACTTCAGAGCCTTACAGATGGAAGTCACGGGAGTAGCGCTACAGACATTCTAACAGCAAGTGAAAATAATCCTCGACTTAGTACTTTCATAGTTGAGATTTTTGTTGATGGTTGAAAAGATACCCGGTAAAAAGACATCAATCCAGCTGTTTCTGCGTGCCTAGTACCGCACCACGGACTCCATATTTGACTCGGCAACCATTCTCCCCTCACTTTCCAAGCTGTTCCTCCCTGATTGACGGAAATTCACTTCCCTCTACGCTTCGCCTCTAATCTTTCCATGGGCTGGTGTCCACGTGATCCTTTCGAGTAAGTTCCGTGGGAGGCTTGTTTCACTGTAGAGACTCAGAAGAGCTTTTCGTTTGAGTGCAGGTGTCACGCCGCCAGTCAGAAGGGGTGGGCTTTTCTGTATCGGGAGTCTCTCTTTTGCAAACTTGGATTTTTTAAATTTAAAAATGTAAAGTGACTGTTAAAAGGCGCTGTCCTTATTTGTGGACCCAAGCTTTGACGCTGTACGCATGAGTCTGGAGCTAATTTTAAAAGTCACTCTCGGGCAGCAGCTCTCAACTTGTGGGTCGCGACCCCTTTGGGGGAGTTGAACGACCCCTTCTTAGGGGTCGCCCGATTTATAACAGTAGCAAAACAGTGATGAAGTAGCAACGAAAACCACTTTATGATTGGGAGTCACCACAACACGAGGAACTGTATGAAAATGTCCCAGCATTAGGAAGGTTGAGAACCGCTGTTCTCGGGTCTTCCTCGGGGTACTAAATGTCAGGTTTGGTCATTATAGAGTAAGAATTTGTAGTTGAGTTATTCTAGTTCCCTGGATAGCGCATCTCTCTCTGGATCACGCAAGCCCAGTGGACAAGTTGAGGCAGTTTACATCACCCGTGCTGCCCTGCTGCTCATACGTCGGAATCCCTTCAATGTCGGTGAGAGAGTCCGTTCTTTAAGGAGAAAAAATAAAGTATTTATGGACTCCACTGGAAACTTCCAAAAGTCACAGATAACAGGTCCATTAAGCCATAAACTGTCAGAACTAGACAATATGGCTAAGGTCAGTTCCTGATTTAACAGAGGAGAACACGGGTCCAGTGTGTTTCAAAGTGATTTTCCCACGGTCGCATGATCAATGAGTGGACACCCAGGACAAACGGCTTCTTCACTTAATGCCAGCTCCACGTTTGCTGTGGGCCCTCAGCTCCCAAGTACTTCAGGACTCAAAATGAGCAAACGCCTTGTTTTTGTGTTCTTTTCTGTAGTGTGCTGTAACCTTCTTCCTACTCTTTTTCACTTGGAATTGAATGATTATGCGCTGTAGAATGTGATTAGATGTATCATGACCAAAGATTGCACTTACTGATGTGTTTTGTGAATTTCTCATCATGGAATTTGTTATTTAATTGTTACTTTGTGGATTTCTCATCATGGAATGTAATTTGTTATTTAATTGTTAATTTATTACCAGTAAATTATTCAAGGGAAAAAAGTGTTCTTCATTTCTTTAAAAAAATTTGTTTTGTAAATTGACTGAGCACATTCAACCTCATCCCTATCCTCAGAACCACTGCTCTGCCATCATCTTTAGACCAGAGACATCCCCTGTCCTCCCAGAACTGGTCTCTCTCTCTTTTTTTAATCATTTTTTGGGGGCTCGTACAATTCTTATCACAATCCATACATCCATCCATTATGTCAAGCACATATGTACATTTGTGCCATCATTCTCAAAACATTTCAAAACATTCTCAAAACATTTGCCTTCTACTTGAGCCCTTAATATCGGCTGCTCATTTTCCCCCTCCTTCCCCCCTCCCTCATGAACCCTTCATAATTCATAAATTATTATTATTTAGTCATATGTTACACTGTCTGACGTCTCACCCCACCCTCTTCTCTGCTGTCCATCCCCCAGGGAGGAGACTATTCGTAGATTCTTGTAATCGGTTCCCCCTGAACTGTTCTCCTTTGATCTCTCCTTGCTTCCCGTCTGTTCCCTATTACGTAGCTCCACAGTGGTCCAGCCATGGTCAGATCACAGCCGACTGCTGGAGCTTCAGGGTCTCACCCACCAGATGGAGACAAATATCAAGTCCAGGTAAAGCCGGCCTTACTGTTCTTCCCTTGCTGTCCACAGTGCCACACATTCAGTATTTATTCTAATAGAACGATTTCACCTGTGATGCACCCCTCTTTTCTACCTTGGACTTGGTTCTGGTGACTCAACTTTTTTTGTTATATGTTCTCATTCATTCAACTTGTTCCACTTAGCATCTCCCTGTGCCAAATTCTACTTCCTAAAATCCTCATAACCATCTTAAATACTATCTTTCCCAAGAAGCCTTTATAGATCTTCATTACTCGATTAACCTCGCCTTCTTTGGGTTCCCCTGGTATGGGCCTTATGCCCTTGCTCTATAGAACAGACAGAATGGTACATTCTGAGGAGCTTGAGGGGTGGGGGGTGGCTAAGTGCTCTCCTAAGAGATTGGTGGTTTCAACCCACGAGTCCCTCTGAGTGAGGAAGGTGGGGCAGCCCACATCCATAAAGTCTTGGAAAGCTTAGGCATCAGAATCAGCTCAGCACGGTGGCTTTGGTGTTATTTGGTTTGATGTGTTAGGTGCGAACAAAGCTGCAAGCTCCCAGAGGACAGGGACTGTTGCTAACAAGTCTCACAACAGCCCTACAAGAAGTCATTGGTCTCCGAATGAGAAAACGATACCAAGTTCAGGCTATACTTCTTGTAGCTATTGTGAGGCACCGTGGAGTCCGTTCTGACCCATAAGCACCCTACATATAATAGAAGGAAACACTGGCCGATCCTGTGCTCTCCTTACCGTTGTCCTTATGTGTGAACCCATAGTTGTAGCCAGTGTATCAATCCCGCTTGTTGAGGGTCTTCTTATTTTTCACCAACTCTCCACCAGATATGATGTCCTTTTTTTCAGTGACTGGTCTCTTCTAATAATATGTCCAAAGGACAAGAGGCCAAGTCTCCCCATCCTTTCTTCTAAGGAGCCTATGCTGCTGCTGCTGTTATGTGCCATCCAGTCAGTTCTGACCCATAGTGACCTTATGAACAATAGAACGAAACACTGCCCAGTTCCTACGCCTGAGCCTGTTGCTGCAGCCACTGTCGATCCATCTCGTTGATGGCCTTTCTCCGGCCTGCTGCTCCTCCCCTTTCCCAGCAGGATGTCCTTCTCTAGGGCCTGGTCTCCTGACAGTGCGTCCAAAGTACGTGAGACAAAGTCTTGCCGTCCTTGCCTCTAAGGAACACTCTGAACACACTTCTTCCCAGATAGGTTTGTTTGTTCTTTTAACAGTCCGTGGCACTTTGAATATTCTTCTCCAGCCCCACAATGCCAATGCCTTGATGCATTTTCAAAGGCTTAAAGCCTCCACTAAAAGATGAACTTGGAATCAAACTTGAACTGGATGGATTTTCCTGAGAAATCCAAAGTCCAAACCTATACTTTTTAAAAGTTTATCTCCTAATTTTTTTTTAAAGTCATTTTATTGGGGGCTCATACAACTCATCTCAATATTTCCTAATTTTCATGTAATGATACCCATTCAGCAACTGCCTTATGAGGTTTGATCACCTGAGAATAGCAAGCTAAAATGAGCATAAATTATGCATAACTGGCTTTTCCATGAAACACCCAGGGGATGAAAGAGATCTGGGAGAATGGACAGCTTAACTGCTGACCTACAGGTCAAAGGTTCATTAGGGTCACATCCTTAAATAAAAAGGTCAAAGATGAGGAGGGACTCTAAAAGTCCAATGGCGATGCAAAGCAAGAGATTTCAAGCAGCAGGTGTTGCAAAAGAAATCCCAAGGATTGAATATAGTTAAGGGATTATAGACAAGCAGGGGGAAAGGTACCTGGAGCCACACTTTCACGTCAGTGGGTGCTGGAGCTCCCTGTGAACAGGAAACGGGTTTATTTTCTCCATGTTGCTACTGACTTTCACAAGAAGTAGAGCCCTGGTAGCTCAGTCTGTTACATACTTGACTGTTAACTGAAAGGCTGAAAGTTCAAACTCACCCAGGGGCTCCAAGGGAAAGACTTGCTGCTCTGGTTCTGTTGAGATAGCAGTAAAAACAACAACAGCCTTACAGGACAATTCTACTCTGTCGTCTGGGGTGGCTTTGAGTCAGAACTCACTGATGGCACCTAGCGACAACATCTCAAAGAGATTCTCAAGAGTATTGGATTTTTACAGAAACCCCAGTTAGGTTTATAACTACCAGATAGGTTTATCTAGCAGATAAATTTTTTGGCAAGAATCTCATTTGCGAAGCTCAAGAATTGCCTGCTAGTCTAAAGAAGCAAGGTGCTGAATTGCCTTTTCTGGGTAATTTTACAAAACAGAATGTATTCAACATCTTTATAGACTTTGACCAAAGAAATTATCCTGCTTGGAACCTAACAGTTATTTCCTAACCATATGGAAATAAACAATATCTATCTCAGAATTGTTTACAACAACCATAAAGTGATTAATGATAACAGGAA